TGAATTCCAAACATGAATCTATTAACTGTTTCAAGAATTTTCTCAGCTTAATACAAAATCAATTTTCGGCTATCCCTAAACATTTTCGTTCCGATAGCGGAGGCGAATTTACCAGCACAGCCTTCACTACCTTATTTAACGATCACGGTATCATACGGCAGCTCAGTTGTCCTCACACTCCGGAACAGAATGGCTTAGCTGAACGAAAACACAGGCATCTTCTCGATCTAACCAGGACATTACTACACGCATCAAACCTCCCGGACAAATTCTGGTTAGACGCCATCTCAACAGCTAATTATTTAATTAACAGGTTACCCTGCAAACCGTTAGCTCTCCGTTCTCCATACCAACTGCTCTTTCACAAAACACCGGATTACATGCACCTACGTACATTTGGATGCCTTTGTTATCCCTGGATGCAACCATATACGCACAACAAATTTGAACCTCGGTCTCAACAGTGTCTCTTTTTGGGATACTCAATGCAACACAAGGGGTGCAAATGCTACAATTTACATACTCACAAAGTTCATATCTCACGGCATGTACAATTTCAAGAACACATCTTCCCCTTTCAACAAACCCCTACAACAAACAATGACAGCAACACCAACCCTGAAGTTCATATCCCGCCGCTACTTCTCGTGCCAACATCAGCTGTATCTGATATTCATCACAAAACAAACCCCGTCAGCAATGCTCCTATCATTCAGCCACCTACGAACACGATCAATACCAATTCGCAACAGACCGAGACAGGCACTTTTATCATACAACCTCTTCCAACCCACCCAATGCAGACAAGATCAAAATCCGGGATTACAAAACCCAGACAGATCCTCTCCCTGCTCGGCCAGGATGAACATCCGGTACCTACAACATACAAGCAAGCACTTAAAATTGAGGTATGGAAAGACGCCATGAAATCCGAATATCAAGCATTAATCAATCAGGGTACCTGGTCACTCGTTCCCAAACCTCCGAACAAACCTATCATCGGCAGCAAATGGACTTACAAAATCAAACATCTACCTAACGGACAAATTGAGCGCTATAAGGCAAGATTAGTGGCTCTCGGTTACGCTCAAACATTTGGCCAAAACTACATCGAAACGTTCAGTCCAGTAGCCAAGATGGTTACAATACGTCTCCTTCTCAACCTTACAATCAATCGGAACTGGCCAATGATCCAACTGGATGTATCGAACGCATTCCTCCATGGTGATCTACCGGAAGAGGTCTATATGCGTCAACCTCCAGGTTTTGAGGATCCAAATAATCCAAATGCGGTATGTAAATTACACAAATCTCTCTATGGCCTCAAGCAGGCCCCTCGGCAGTGGTTCCAGAAACTCACTACCGCCCTTCAAGCTCGTGGTTTCAGGTTTAGTCGTTCCGATCCATCTCTCCTAATCTACACAAAATATCACGTTCAAATTTATCTTCTTGTATACGTTGATGATATCATTGTAACATGAAATGATCAATCACACATCCAGCTCCTTCTCAATGATCTCAACTCTCAGTTCGCACTGAAGCAATTGGGCCAAATTTCTCTTTTCCTAGGCATACAAATTACTCGCTCTGCCAACGGATTCTTCCTCAGTCAGGCTCACTACGCACAAAATCTGTTACTTGAAGCCGGTCTTTCCAGTTGCAAACCTGCTCTCACTCCAATCACTCCTTCCTCAAAGCACCAGCCGGACAACAACAATCCCTTTCACGACACTCTACTGTATCGCCGCCTCGCAGGATCGCTACAATACTTATCAATCACTCGGCCGGATATTGCTTTTGCCACAAACCAAGTATGTCAACACATGCAGAATCCTACCGACAAAAATTTTCAACAAATCAAACGTATACTCCGGTATATCAAAGGAACTATCTCTTACGGTCTTCCGATCGTACCCGGTGAAGTCACTCTTCGGACATACACGGACGCCGACTGGGCATCCGATATCACCGACCGCAAATCCATCTCTGGGTTTTGTACGTTCATGGGTCCAAATCTTATATCCTGGTCGGTCAAGAAGCAAGTCACTGTAGCAAAATCATCCACTGAGGCAGAATATCGAGCACTGTCCGCAGCCACCTCCGAAGTGCTCTGGCTTCGGCGTCTGGCGGAAGAACTGCAGATGCATCAAAACTCTCCGACCACCATCCACTGTGACAACAGCTCGACCATAGCTATTGCAAAGAATCCTGTTTTTCATGCTCGCACAAAACATATTGAAATTGATTTTCAGTTTATTCGGCAACAAATACAGACCGGCAACATCAACATACAACACATTTCTTCTCAAGAACAGATAGCTGATATCTTGACGAAACCATTCTCTAGTTCAAGGTTCGAATATTTATGCTCCAAATTATCCATTCGCTCACCGAATGCATAATTTGAGGGGGAATGTAAGCATATGCAATATACCGAATAGTCCCACACTAGTGTTCTCTTAGTCTATTGTATCATCTCACACTATATATACATTGTAACCTACCGTTAGACAACATATAATAAAGAATTCCAAAGCTCTCTCTATCTCTCCACATTACTCTGCTTCTCTGTATAAACTCCAACAGAGATATACATCTCTATGCTATATGACATGGTTCATGAGTTCACGGAGTCATCCGATGGTAATACTATTTTTGTTAATCGAGCTGTGACTTGTGGTTTAATGAAAATATTTACTCTCAAATGTATCACGTTCAAATCGCTCAAACTTTGAAACAAAAAGTTATTATTATTATTATGTTTTTTTTTTAAAATTAGTTATCACATATTAAATTTACAATTATTTGCGGCTCGTGTTGTGGCACGGTGGTTGCGGGCATTCGTGCTTCTCGTGTAATTTCGTGTTTGAGTTTTTTTTTTTTTTGAATGAGGGTATCTATCCGCTGCTGCTCAAAAGGGAGTACTTGGCCGCTTAACTAATCCCTCTGTGGAACCTAGCGAGGCCACCCACTGACATGGGTTCCACACCTGCTTTGCCCCATTGAAGAGGCTAAGCCGTGGTAAAAGGAATTAGAACCCATAATGGGTAATTATTATGTCCGGACACCGAACGTGTCCAGACACCAATAACGGAATAACCATGCGCCACGTCACCTGGAGCTCGGTTCCGAGCACTCGGTATTGCTCGATATACGTCTGAATTTCCAGCTTTTTGACCGTAATAATTTTCCTAGAATGGGAGGTTTGTTGGAGTTGCTTAATCTGTAAAAAAAAAAAAATTGCAATTATTTGTATAGATAATTACATCGAGCCAAATATACCCCACCGTCCCTTTTCAATATTGGATTCCTGAACGTCCAATCATCATTTTATCTCTAACTTTCTAAAAGTTAATTATGCACTCCTTAGTCCTCAAATTCTCTATCTATATAATTTTGTTGTTATATCAAAACTTTAAAAATATATGTATTATTTATTTTTTGAAGAAATATACTAAAAATTTTATTTAGGATCAAATTATATTTCTTTTGTCTGTATAAACGATTGAGGTTTAATTCAGGCAATTTTGATGCAAATCAGATTCAAATTGATTTGAATAAGGTTCGCTTTATGTTTGATTGAACCTTATTCAAATAAGGATCGAACTTGATTTGAATCTTTCTTCTCGTGTTCTGTCCCAAGCATTCTGTTTGGTCGTCCCCATTTGCAAGCACTCAACAAACCCTAACTTCGATGGTCACGATTACTCCCATCCACAAGAGTCAACTTTATTTCTTTCATTTGCTCATATTGACGACCCCCATCCATTGTGAATTCCTGCATCGCCACCATGATTCTTGCTCCAACAAGCCTCATTGACATATATTTGGATTAGATTCAAATATATTTGAACGGTCTTTGAATAAACTTTCGATTTAATGTTCGAATTTAAATCAATTTGAATCATTTTTTCTTGAGAGTGATTTCAAAAAATAGTATGTGAATTAAAAATAATGGTTCAAAATTAACTTTTAGATATATTTCCTCAAGAAATAAAGTATAAAAAAATATTTTTAATGGGACTTATAGAGTTATTTTTTCTTATTTTTATCAATTAGATTTGAGCTAGGAAAAAATTGCAGAAAGAACTGCTTAAAAGTATAACATTTTTTTTTTTTGATAAATTAAAAAAACATATAATCCATTATTTATGAAAAACTCAAAAAGTAAGATATGTCAAAATATTCTAATTAAATTATTGAGTATACTATATCTTATTTAAATATTATATCCATTTAAAAAAATTTCAACTGTTTTTTTTATGATTTTTATTTATATATATAAGATATACTTGACCTCGTATATTTACCATCCTTATAAATAAAAGCTAAATATCATTTTGATACATTACTAATTTAGTACGTAATTTTTCTTAATATTTTCACAGATTACTCAAATTCTCTCTTTTTATATTTGATTTGCTAATAAAGATTTATCCAATAATAGTAAACATATTCATCCCTAATTATGATTTACACCCACGGCGGGGTGGCCTGGTGGTGGAGAACTGGCTGGTCATAGGCCAGATGCCGAGTTCGAATCCCATCGGCGCTTCGTGCAAGCCTTAAGTGTTGGCCCGTATAAATTGGTGTGGGTTGCATGCTAGGTCGGCCGGGTTATCCCCAAACCGGGATGATCTGTTTTTTAATTAATTAATTATGATTTACAAAGCAACCCTAATAATAATTTACCTTAATATACCAAAGTTTAAAAAAAAAAATTTGGGTGGGGATAAATCTTAAAGCTGCTTTGTTTTTACCAAATTTTATTTTTTATATTTAAAAAACGAAGCCTTACTTCCTGTTGAATTCTCTATAAATGTCAAATCAGTGGAATTATGCGTCAGGCGGTTCTTGCTACACCGTAAGCGTGAAAATATCTCATTCTCTCTCTCTCTCTCCAAATCTCCAGCTCCTTCCATTACGATTCTCAGTTCCTTCTACGTTTTCTCTACGAAATTAGGGTTTAGAAGATCTCAAATTCCATCCCTTAATAAATTTCGAATCCCGTTACTCTGCTTCGTTGACGCATCCGAACCCTCGACCCTCAATCTTCCGCTCTCCAAAGCCATTTTTTGCGATCTTCCACTCAGTGGCCGGAGAACGCTTGGTCAAGGATTACCGCCCAGATGTCCGTTCCGACAATCGCGCTCTACTCAACCCCGTCGAGCGGCCTCTGCTCGTCTCCTTACGATTTCCGATCACCGGAGTGTGAGTTCAATCCCTATGGACATAAGCCGGCAATCATCGGCGGGCTTTCCTGCCTCTTCTCCCCTTCTTCTCCCTTCCGCTTATCCCCCGCGGTCGCCTTCGAAGAGCTTCGGCACGATCGAACTGAGTCCTACACCACGTGTACATCGTCATCTTCCTATAATAAATGCCGTGATCAGAGCCCTATCTCTGTTTTCCACGGACCGATATCGTGCAGCGGGAGTGCGGTGAGTTCCGCGAGGAGTCCTTCTTTGTTGAGAGTCCCTCGCGATTGGAATTTGAGCGATGTGAGGATGGGAAGGGATGGTTTGTTTAATGGCTTCGTTGGCAACGCGCTGGGTTCTTGTTTGGATTACACTTCTCCCTGTGTTCCTTTGCGTGACAACTTTGATGTGGAAGATCTGACCTTTAACCTGGAGGAGAGTTTTGCTGAGGTCCAACCCGGCTGTGAGTCCTATGCTATTGAATTGCTCTCCAGGGCTCAATCAAGACATAAAATCTTCAATGAAGAGATTGTGTCTAAGGCGTTTTTTGAAGCAGAGAAAGCTCACAGGGGGCAGGTGACTATAATTGAATTTGATGAGCTAAACGGGATTCTTTTAAGATGGATCCGGTTGTTTTGTTGACTTTAATTTAAAATATTGAATTGGGATTCTTATGTTTTGCTTTCTAGATGAGGATGAATGGTGATCCATACCTGCAACATTGCGTGGAAACTGCTGTTTTGTTAGCTAAAATTGGGGCTAATTCAACTGTTGTGGCTGCTGGACTTTTACATGATACGCTAGATGATTCTTTTATGGATTATGATTATATTTTACAAAATTTTGGAGCTGCTGTAGCTGATCTTGTTGAAGAGGTTAGTTAGATTCCTCTCTGCATTTACTTACTTCCTTTCAGCTTCTTAAACAAATGTGCTTATTTGGTTCCTTAAGTTTGAAAATGAAAGATGTGGTATTGAAGGCCTGAGTAAGGAGCTTCTGTCTTCCGCCCCCACCCAAGTTACTTATGCAGCCTATTATGCATGAATCAGATAAAGAGAAACTATGCGATATCATATGAAAATCTAACTTTACCAAGGAACCTCTTAAAAACTTATATTTCTCTTCATATAATGAAGAACTTTGCTATGTGATGCATTATCATCAATTCTCACCATTTTGTGCTTTCTGTTTCATTTTCCTATGTTCAAATCTCACTTTAAACGTTAGATGTTTATCAGTTGTATAAAATGTCATTTACCCTTATTTTGCAGTTAAATGCTGCTTTAAACTTGAGTGAATAGCAAAGATGGATTTACAAAGTCAAATTAAGATATCTCAGATTCAGGCTGCTAGTACTGCTAATGTGTTGCTTTTTATCTTTGTTAGAAATCCATGTGATTTACGAGTTTGCTTATCATCATCATTTTTATCATTTTATGTTTTAGCTAGGCTACTCTGGTTATAGCTTTCAATTTCAATTGTAAAATTTCATTTGGAATTTATGTAGGTTTCAAACCTTAGCCAACTAAGTAAGCTTGCACGGGAAAACAATACTGCAAGTAGAACAGTAGAGGCTGATAGATTACACACAATATTTCTCGCAATGGCAGATGCAAGAGCTGTTCTTATAAAACTTGCTGATAGGCTTCATAATATGATGACCTTGGAAGCTTTGCCAGTGGCCAAGCAACAGAGGTTTGCAAAAGAAACTCTGGAGATATTTGCTCCTTTGGCAAACCGTTTGGGTATTTCAAATTGGAAGGAGCAATTAGAAAACCTTTGCTTCAAGTATCTCCATCCACAGCAGCATAAGGAGCTATCTTGCAAACTCCTCCAGTGTTTTGATGAAACAAATATCACATCTTCCAAACAAAAGTTAGAGCAAGCTCTCAAGAATGCAGGTCTCTCATATCATGTTATTTCTGGGAGACATAAGAGCTTGTTCAGCACTTACTCCAAGATGATCAAGTATGCTTGTTGACTTATCTCGTTATCAGTTCTCTCCCAAAAATGTTCACTTTTGCACATTCAAAATAATCCAACCTATAAAAAGGAATTCCCAATTATTTATTCCATTATATATGCAAAATCCTTGAAAAAATAAGCCAAGAAAAAGGTACCTATTGTAAGCAAAATATGCAGTGATTAATGGTTGTTTTTTTGCAGGAAGAAGCTGGCTATGGATGAGATCCATGACATTCATGGACTAAGATTGATAGTTGATAAAGAGGAGGATTGCTATAAGGCACTAGACATTGTTCATCAGCTATGGCCTGAAGCTTTGGGCAGACTCAAAGACTATATTGCTCATCCCAAATTTAATGGGTATGCCTTAATCTGCTCTCTCTCTCTCTCTCTCTCTCGTACTGCTTGTCCACCATTAAAACAATGAAGGTAGATTTGTTACTTCTTTGTGCGTTTACTGATGCCTACTTCCAGGTATCGATCCCTACACACTGTTGTCATTAGTGAAGATAAGCTACCACTGGAGGTTCAGATTCGAACCAAAGAGATGCACCTCCAGGCAGAATTTGGATTTGCTGCTCATTGGAGATATAAGGAGGATGACTGTCAGCATTCCTCTTTTGTTCTCCAAATGGTGGAATGGGCCAGATGGGTTGTGACATGGCAATGTGAGATGGCCGATGTCGAAAAACCATCATCCTTTGATGATGGTCATTCGATAAGGTCATCATGCCCTTTTCCTTCACATTATGATGACTGCCCTTACTCTTACAGTGACACTCATCAATGCGATCATGATGGACCAATCTTCATCATCATGCTGGAAAATGAGAAGGTGATATGTTCCCTTCTCTCAGTGTTATAGTATCATCATTTCCAAGATGATTTTAGCTTTTGTGCATTGCGATCCATTTGCTTCCCTATGGATGGATTGACTATCTGTTGTAGATTTTTTATAACAAAAACCAAACATGCAATGGGCAAATAATTACATTTTTTAACTATCCTTTCACTCTGTTGAATTTTGGTCTGTTCTAAAGCAATTTTTTAGGCATTTCTAAAGTTTGAAGCTTGCTCATCATTTTATTTGCATGTGGATCTGTTAGAACCTATTTGGAAATTTAATAAAAAAAATGACTAAATTAAGTTTCTTCCTGAGCTTTACATGAATTATTACCATTCTTCTGTTTTAAGTTTGCCTTTCTATAAGTTGTTTATCTATATATTTTGTTCATGTTGAACAATTTCATCTTAAGAATTATGCTGGAAAACTTAACGAGTCATTTTTATGCACTGATGTACCTTTGTTTTCCTACGGATTCACAAACTTTTGTAGAATTTTTTTTTTTATAATAAAAAGCATGAAATGTGCGAGCAATTCTACTTTTTAAATAATCCTTTCATTCTATTGAATTTTTGGTTTGTTATATAGCATTTTTTTTTTTCGTTCTAAAGCCATGTTCTATTCCTTTAAGCAATCCTATTATCGCATGCAGGCTCATCTCTCTGAGCCTTCTGTGAACCATTTCCTTTATTAATTTGGTCCTGCAAAACTTTGATATCTTCTGTTCATGTTGATCAACATCATAAAAGTGCTAATTTTGTTATGTGCTGATTGCAGATGTCTGTCCAGGAGTTTGCACCAAACTCAACTGTAATGGATCTTCTGGAAAGATCTGGAAGAGGGAATCAAAGAGACCAACCTTACAGCTTTGCGATGAAGGAAGAACTGAGGCCAAGGCTGAATCGTAAACCTGTTAATGATCCTAACCAGAAACTGAGAATGGGAGATGTTGTTGAGCTAACACCAGCCATTCCTGACAAATCTCTCAAAGAGTACAGGAAAGAACTTAAGCGCATGTACGATCATGGCCTAACAATATCAGCTGCAAGACCCCTCAGAAGCTAACACAAACTACAACTACATTAAGAAAGCTATCCATTTCTCTGTAAATATGAATGAACTTGTACATAATTGCATCGAAGTGTTGGAATTAAGATGCTGGGATTTGAAAGGCTGATTTCTACTGCAGATCCCACAGGTAATTTTCATATTTTAGGCTGGTTCAGTGTTGTACAACTCAAAACACTGTGAGTGTTTGAGCTGGTTGGCTCACAACTGTGTGTATTTTATTTGTTGAACAAGGAATTGCATAGATTATGTGACCTTGAATTACTATAAATTCTGGTAGAAATGCTATCTATTCATTTAAATAGAAAATTGAAATTGGATTTGAAGTTGACTTGAATTCTCTAAAACAATAGGAAAAATAGGAATTTGATTGCAGAATCAGAATTTCAGCGGTTTGAGCAAGTAGAATGAAAGAAAATAACAAGATACAGATGATCTTTTATTCGAGAGGACGATTAATCTCTTCAAAATTTTTTAGATGCTACTAGTCAGCTGAAGATGACAAGATAAATTGTAGCAAAGAAAACAAGTGGACTAGTGTAAATATGTTAATAATTAAGATTTCGTTTGGGACAGTTTTATTACTGTTTCTTGAAGCTTTTTTTTTAAATTTTTGTATTAAAAAGTTACTTTAAGATGTAATACAAAAGCTGCCCCAAATGAAACCTAAATCTTAAAACATTAGGAATTCGGAAGTTTCATGGTAAAATCATGAACCGATAATATTACGCTGTGTTGCCGATGAACACCAAACCACAGTACTCAGTAATAGCGAAAGACAATTCTTCCATGGTAAAAAGAAAAAAAAAAGAATAACTTATGGTGGTTTCTAGCAGTTGTCTTTTGTATTGGCATTTTGATAGGAAAAAAATTTAAGTCAACATATCCTATAAAATTTGTATTAGGATTGATGTCATTATATTTAAATAGTGTTGGATATGATATCAAAGAGTTGCTAATTTAAGAATATTGAAGTTCATTTTGATGTAACTTTTGTTGGAATATCGTTCTTTTGAAAGCACAGCTATAGTTTAGGTTGGATCTCTTTTGTTATACCCAGCCATGTTCTATGCCCTCCAATCAGGCTTAGTTAGGAGAGATTATTACATGTGGAGTCTAGACACAGAGAACCATTTAGTTTTGTGATTGTGTCAGTTAAAGCGCAATGGTGTTTCACCGAATGTCGTTCACCAGTTTATAGTTTTGACGAGCATCTACCCAAATAACAAATGGAAACACATTTTTACATTTTATCTCAGTTGTAAATAGTGCAACGTCAATATTGGCGTCACATTATTAATAAGAAACACATTTTTTTGTGTTGAAAATAAATATAAAAAGAGAGACATAATATACACAAAATATTATCTTTTTTATAAGAAATGGAATTTGGTTGGAAACTAAGTTTTTGTTTGGGTGACTTTCTTATTGTTTCTTATAGTAGCTTTTTATTACACAAATTAAAAGTTTTATACTAGAAAGTTGCTTTAAGAAGCAGTAAAAAAGTCGTCCCAAAGTTTTATTTGGGATGGCTTCTTACAGCTTCCTAAAGCAGTTTTTTAGTACGACTTCATATACTAAACGGACATCCTTTCAAAGTCTCTCTGAATACTAAACATGAATCAAAATATCATTTTATATGGCCCCTATATTTTTTGCTTTCAAAGCAGGATAGCAAGATATAATTTATATTCTAACACCTCTCAGAATCTTTGATAGCAATAATCAAAACAAAGTTTAGCCATTACCATGATATCGAGGGAGGTGCAGTGCATATGTCTCCTCTTCCTTGCCGAATGATTCCAAAGAATAAAAGAAATCCTAAAAAACTGTTTGCTATTCAACAGAGATACTGAAAATATCACCAATAATCTCCACAAGAACACAATCCATCCCTGCAGTTGTGAAATCTTTTAGCATCTCTGGCAATGATCTCCTTTCCTATCACCTTAGACACCAACTTTATCCAGTTATGACAATCACCACAAACTCTAAGGTTTTTGAAAATGGTGATAGTATTGCATGTCTTTCCTCTGCTGCTCAACACCCCAAAGGCAACAGCCAGCTTCTCACTGTGGTAAAACAAAGACCTCTCCATCTCAAACTCTTCCATTTGCTGCAGCACAAAGCTAGTATCAGGAACATATCCCAAGCCTTTTGTCTTTTCGATCAGTTCCTCTAACTCCTTGTAGATCAGCTCTCCATCAGGGTGAGACTGATCTCCAGCCATAAATGTATGAATCTTCTTATTAACATAAATCCAACTCACCGCAGGGTCTTTCTTAAATCCCATCTCTCGCACCAAGCATTTGATGTTGATAACCTCTTTCCATTTACCCAAAGATGCATAAATGTTTGATAACAGAATATAAGTTCCCTCATCTCCAGGATCAAGTTCAAGCACTTTTCTCGCAGCCCATTTTGCCATTTCTAGCTTTCCATGAATCTTGCAAGCACCGAGCAATGTCCTCCATAAAACTTTGTCTGGTTTCTGCACCTTACTTAACAATTCTTCAGCCTCTTCTAACCTCCCTGAACGACCAAGCAAGCCAACCATGCAGGCGTAGTGATCATTAGATGGACCAGGGCTGTGATCAGTAAACATCAATGAAAAAACTCGACGCCCTTCTTCAAGCATTCCTGAATTGCTGCAAGCAGAAAGCACATTAACATAAGTGACATCATTTGGTTCGATTCCCAAACGTTTTGTCATATCAAATAATCGAACAGCTTCCTCTCCATTACCACTCTGACCATAACCATTGATCAAGGAGTTCAAGGAGACCAAATCAGGAGCATATAAACTATCAAAAACCATTCTGGCCATCCCAACATGGCCGCACTTGCCGTAAGTGTCCACAAGAGCAGAAATCACAAATCTGTTTTCAGCCAGGCCACTCTTTAGAGCATAAGCATGGATTAGCATTCCTTGTTCAAACAATGCGAGGGATGAGCAGACACTGAGAGTAGTTGATAAAGTGAAAGCGTTAGGTGGTGCCACAGAATTGAGAATCATGCTCCGAAACATCGAAAGAGCCTCCTCTTCTCTGTGACTATGCAACAAACAACCAATGATTGCAGTCCAAGCCACATTGTTTGGATTCAAAATCCCATTAAAAACCTTCAAAGAGTCTTCAATTAGGCCACACTTAGAGTACATACTAAGAAGAGAGGTTTGTGGAGCAATCCAAGAACCAAATCCAGATTTAAGGATGGCGCCATGAATCAGTCTTCCAGAGGTCAAGTCCTTCAAATTCCCACATGCTATTAGAACACTAGCAAACGTGAAGTCATTTGCTTGAATGTAACTGTTCAACATTTCTCCAAATACTAATATAGCTTGTCGATCTTCGCCATTCTTCGTGTGACCTACTATCAAAGCTGTTGACAAGACAACATCTTTGGCCTTCACCGAATCGTAGACGATGCGAGCTTCTCCCAATCTTCCAAATTGAGCATAAAAATCCACCAAAGAGCTGCTTACATAGACATTTCCGGCTTGTAAACCGAAGACCACAGACTGACCGTGAGCAGCTCGGCCTCCATTAAAAAGTCGCAGATCAGAGAAAGCTCTGAAAATGCTCGAGAAAGTGAACTCATCCGGCACTAAATTTTCAATCATCATCCTTTTGTACAGAGCAACAGCCTCTTGAGGCCTTTCTTGGCGGATGTAGGAAGATATCATGGAGCTCCACGAAACCACGTGTGGTTGCGGCATATCGTCAAACACATTGCGTGCGTCGTCGACGCTTCCAGAGCTCAAATAAGCAGAAATTAGCTTGTTTCCGAGGCTGAGATGGGGAAAGCCAGTCTGCTTCATGTGAAGCTGGACTCGTCTTGTTTGGGTTATGGATTTCTCCGCGGCGCATTGGTTGAGGAGGGTGATGTAAAAGTTGGAGTTTGCCGGCGGCGGCCGATTTTTCGCCGTCGGCGTAAGTTGGACTTCGGGGGTAAATGCATAAGTTCTTGAGGAGCATATAGTTCGTAATGGGAGCAGCCTCATTCATTCGTGATTGCCTTCGTCTCCAGCTCGTCCAGCTCGTCACCATTAGTGAGCGCAGAAAAATTCCTGAGTAATACTTCCAAAAAATCTACATGCTTTTTATAAAAAAAAATTACGAGTGTGTGATAGATTTAAGAAAATAAACGTCCAATTTCTATAAGAAAATAATTATAATATAGATAGTAGCTTTAAAAAATTATTTTTTCACATAATTATTTCACAATCTTATTTACAAAAAAATATAGATCGATTCCTAAAACTGATGCAAAATAAACAAAAAAAAACCTTTAAAGATGGTGTTATACACGAACTTTTATTTGGTTTGGTGACTTGACGTAGCTCTACGTTCGGACGCCAGTAAAATAGTGTCATGTGTTTTTACTGTTTACCGTGCGGCCCATCAACACGATCCGGAACGACCCCGAGATTGTTATGTTCGCGTATTGCTAGGTATTGCTAGGTATTGACCAATTTTGCTCGGCAATAACGAGAAATATCATTCTGTGAAGACCAATATGCTAAAAACTCGGTATTGCTCGGTATTGGTCTTCACAGAGCGGTATTTCTCGTTATTGTCAAGCAATACTTAGCAATACCGAGTAATACGCGAACATAACAATCCTGTGTTCCGGTCCGGGTCAGGTCATCGGGTCGCGCGGTAAAGAGTGAGAACACCTGGCGATATATTATTGGCGTCCGAACATAGAGCTACGTCAGGTCACCTGACCTAATAATGGAGCTATTTTATCTACAATTTTGGAGATAAGAGTGATAGACATAAACTATACCATGCTTCTATAGAAATATCAAATCACATGTGACTAATATGTTTTGTTTGGGATAACTTTGTTACTATTTTCTAAAGTAGCAATTTAGTATAAAAAATTGTAAAACAAATAATAATAATAATAAATTACTTTAAAAAAATAGAAAGAAAGTTGTTCCAAACAAAACCTAAGGGACTATTTGGGAAAAAATTATTCTGTGTGGACGTCGAATGCCATCCGGCGACCGGAAACTAAAAAAAATGCATCAAATCACCCCCTTGCTCGGAACTGCTAGGTATCGCTTGATACAGCAGCTCGATACCACTGACGTGGTGCATTCTGGTTGGTCTTCGAACGGTGTTCTACATCCGGCCTCCGCACAGAATAATTTCTCCTATTTGAAACAACTTTCTTATTGTTTTATTTTGTAGACCACAATCAGAGATATGATTGGATAGTGCTTTCTCATAACTTTTTAAAATTTTTTGTGGTAGGAGTTGCTAAAGTTTTGTAGGCTTTAAGAAATCAATTGTACAATTAAAAAAAAAGAATATATGCATAATACCACATAGCATTGAAAAAAAAATTATTTTTCTATAACAACTTCACAATCACAATTACAAAAAATGCTACGTTGTTTCAAACATATTTTAAAATAATATTATTTATTAAAATTTAATATGCTAAGAGTATGTTAAATTTATTATTAGTTAATCATTGTCAAGAAATTTAAATTTAGTAATCTTCAATGAATTAAACCAACATTTTTTATTTAGTTTGCATATTGTAGAATAAGCCTATCTATCAAAGGTATTAATTGATAATGTTTTTTTAATTTCTTGTTGAATAAACTATATATTTGCTTGCTAAAATTGTTTTTAAGACATTTGAAGTTGGCTACTTAAACTTAGGAGGATTTACATGCATACCATTGAATATTTCACTATTTACATATCTAACACCTAAATTATTATATCTAACATAAAATTTCAGCGTGTAAGGTCAATCAAGGGCATGCATATGGCATTCTTGTTTTGTCGACAAAGATTCAACTCGAAATATTTCTCTCATGTGATGATCCAAGCATGCGAGGTCAATGAAAGGTTTTGTTTGTGACAGCTTTCTTATTGCATTCTAAAGCAGCTTTTTAATACAAAAATTCTTTGAACAAAAAAACATAATATTAGAAAGCTACTTTGTAAAGTAATAAAAAAGTTGTCCCAAACGAAGTCATAAACGATAGCTTCACCCATGAGTATGAGCGAAACTTAGGCTTCGTTTGAGATGACTTTCTTACTATTTTTAACATGAGCTTTTTAGTACAAAAATTTTCTTAAAACAACAAAAAAATAGTGGTCAAAAGCTATATCGAACTAAGCCTTAATCTATGAAAGCAAAGTCAATTGAAAATATTTTGAAGACGGAAAATTTATGATATTTTGCCATAAATTTTGTTGGCATTATCCATCCTCTATTTTTCTTCTTCGTATGAGAGGGACTTAAATCGATAGCACACTTCAACTTGTTAGGTGTTGCATAGGATAAATTAATCTGTGTGGTCACCAGACGATCTAGAGTAGGGCTGTCAATATTTGACACGACACGAAAATCCGACCCGAACCCGATTTGGAAAATCCGGGTTGGACCCGACCCGATTTCAAAACGGGTCGGGGTCGGGTTCCAGAAATTGACCCGTTTGAAAAATGGGTCGGGTTCGGGTTGACTCGACGGGTTGCCGGGTCAACCCGCGAACCTGTTTAATTCATTTGAACCCGGGTCAGTTTCGGTTTCGACCGGAACCCGACCCGTGACCCGAAATTGACACCCCTAATCCAGAGGCGAATTAGGATGCATCACGTCATCCGATACATAGCATCGACACATCAAAAAAATGACATGGTGCTTCCTGATTCGCCTCTAAATCCCATCCGGTAACCGCACAGAATAATTTCTGGTTGCTTTGAAGTGTTATTGAATTATAACATCTTCAAAATTATTACCTCATTATTAGATGTTGCTTGATTGATCCAACTAAATAGAATTATATTTTTTACAGAAAATAAATTTAATAATATAGTCATCTATTAACTAAGAATAAGTTGTGTAAAAATAAATTAATATAAAGTGATTAGAGTAACTAAAAAATCAATTATTAACTAATTCTTAATTTTTTTTGACAATTTAATCTTCTAAAGCTCGCTCCATCAAATTCTTTATTTTATTTTATTTTTATTTGATGGGGCAATTGAAAGTCGTTAAAGCTTAATAATTGGTCTTAATTGAAAACGTTTGAAATTTCTATTTACATTCACACCCAAAGATTTTTCCAAATTTCTATAGTTTAAAGGTTAACGGTCAAAATCAAAAGAATAAGCCAACAAAAATAATATTATTTGACTGAAATGGGTAAATTATATGGTACAGAGTTAACCCTCCAATTATATAAAATCCGCTTAAATGAAATTTGCACTCAATTGCTTTGAAATTTGTCGGTTGCTCTAAGCTTAATTGGAGCAAAAATCACGTGGTTGGAAAGGACTTTCGAACCGACTTATTATTATTATTATTATTAATTTATATTGAAGTTAATATTTTCATATGATATTTTTCTTATGTAAATATTATTTTTTGAGCAAATAAGTCGCAGGCTTCATTTGAGACGGCTTTCTTACTGCTTCTTAAAGCAATTTTCTAGAAAAAAAAATATTTTTTTTGTGCTTTAAGAAGCAGCAAGTAACCTGTCCCAAACGAAGTCTTAGATGACAATAGGGCAATGTTCTGACTCTGGCAATTAGGCGATGGTTTGATGGTTGTGGTTGGGCGATGACTTGACAACGATGGTCTTAAGTAGGGGTGTCAATTCAACTCAACGGTTCGGGTTGAACCCGGGACTAACCCGGCATTATTCGGGTCAACCCGAACCCGACCCGTTTTTAAAAACGGGTAAGGTTTCCGGATTCGAACCCGATCCGATTACGGTTCGGGTCAACCTGACCTGACACGAATTACCCGGGGTTGACCCAAAATTGCTAGTTTTCGGGTCAAAATCGGGTCAATCTTCGATTTTCGGGTCAAAAACGGGTCAATCTCAGGTTTTCGGGTCAAATATGAGTTTTCGTGTCACTTTCGGGTCAATTACGGGTTGCTGGGTCAACTTGAACCCGACCCGATTTTTAAAACGGGTTGATTTGTTGAACCCGACCCGTTTCAGGTTCGGGTTGACCCAAACCCGGATTTTTCCGGGTTGGGTTCGGGTAGTGTCAAAAATTGATACCCCTAATCTTAAGGTAACTGTTAGATGGTGGCTCGACGGTGATACTTGAGTGGAGTTGTGAGATTTTTAAAGCCTCTAAATTCTTTTTAAGTTTAGGCTAAAGTCCAAGTTCCAAGTCGTCTTCACATAGAGAGTAGGGCCTCGTTTGATAAGGCTTTTTTTCTCTGTTTCCGTTTGAATACGCCGAAATCAATTAGTATTTACTGTTTGGAATCAAAGCTTAACAATAATTCCTTTTTAATAAACATCGTTTTTTCGGCGGTTACAAAATTCTTTTCGTATCTGCTTCTTCGGAATTAATTTTTGAAGTTTCCAACTAGCTTTTGCCTCGAGATTCGTGCCCGATCAAGCTAATTTTGCATGACGTATCAATATTAATTAATATATTATATTTAAAAAATTTAAATTTAAATATTTTCTACTTTGGACTTGATTTGATTTTTTTTAATAATTTTTAGATTAATTAATTTTTTAGATAAGCCCAATTGGTACTTTGTCATTATATATTGTTGAATCTATCTTGGACAGATCATAAGCCATTAAGCTCACAACAACCATACTGACAAAGCACAAATTAATTAATAAACTCCACAACCAATCTAGCTACTGACCCACTCTCAAAGCAACATTCCAACAATATGCCAAACTTTCTTATTTTATAATGTTTTAGATAACTGTTATACTCAAATAAAGAGAGAGATTGTGAATGATTAGGTTTTGATAATTTGACCAAATTAAATTAGCATTAATACACAACTCTCCTTGGCCTATTGGTTGAGAGCTTAGGCTTCCAACTTAGAGGTTCAGGGTTCGAGTCTATGTGTATGCGTTGTGTGTGTGAATTTGACTTAAATGACCTAAAATGTCCTAAAAAAAAAATTAGCATTAATTATTTTTAATGGTATTTATTTGGTTGGTTATTATTGTGTGTTAGAACATTTATAGCAATAGAAAGATAGAGAGTTTAATATCTTAGCTTTTCATATAAATTCAACAACATGCAGATAAGAGAGAAGCTTCAAGAGACACTCGAGTTTTAAGTAGAAAGCATAAGGGAAAATTCATTGCGTTTATTTTTAATTACAATTTATGTTGTTCCTGGGGAAGATATAGATTCAATGCAGTAAACATGCAATGTATAGTATTTATATAATATGGTTCAAGTTGGCAGAGCATTGTGACATGGGAGCTATCTTTAAGAGATCGTTTGTTTATTTGTTTGATCATACTTTTTGGAGAAGAGAAGATCAAAGACGAAAAGTCAATAATAAATCTCAAGTCAAAGTTGTCATCGATGGAATGTATTGACCTTTTGAATCATCATATGAGTTGTCGTTGTTAATGATGGTAGATGACGAAGTAGCAGAAGTTAGTGTGGCTAGGTAACAATGGTTAAAGGTTATAAGACAATGGATAGTTGTTAATCAAAAGTGGTGCTTGATGGAGGTAGGAGGATCTTAATTGGGCAGCGATGGTTGAAGGATTGTAGTTATTTGATGGTATTCAAAGGATGGAAACAACCAAGGTTATGGTTTGACAACGGTGTTGGAATGTGGTCTAACGACGACTATCATGTGATACTTAGATGATGACGGTTGAGGTGTGGTCTGATGATAACCATCAGGCGATGGTCTGAGGACAATAGTCATATGATGTCCTGATGATGGTGCTCGAATGGAGTTTCAAGATTCTTAAGCTTTTGAGCTCTCTTGAATCTCAAGCCTAAGTCCAATCTCCAAATCCCCTTTATGTGTAGAGTAGGTGCCTATTACTTGATTTTTTAAGAGTACCACTCCCAAGAAATATTTTTCTAATCTAAAACATTCCATCATAGAACCCATATTGATTCCCTCAATTATTAACTATTTATTTAACATTTATAAGTCTTAATGATGTCAGAATCAAGCGATATCGAGCACACTAGGTTCGTCTCGTTGAAATATTTGATTAAATTATAACCATGCAAAATGTAGAGATTATTTAATAATATCTTAAAATTTTTAATTATGATTCACGTGCTTGATTTGGGCACGTTCTTATTCGAATTGGATCACTTTTAGTATCTTTGGGTTTATCACGTTGATACCTGCAATTTGATTATAAATCTGCTAAATTTAAATTTAGATAGTCTTGAATTTAATTTTGAAAGTTTTTATTTCAAATATGCATCGAGATCGGATGAAGATAGGACAAAATGATTAGAGAATGTGTTAATTTTATTTTATTTTAATATTTTAAATATTATGTATGTCAATCACATTTAAAATAATTGAATATACATGAAGTAATTTTATTTTATTAATACATATTAATAATCTTAAAATAAATGTAATGATTTTAAGCCTTTCTTATAAAAACATCACTAAAATGTATTGACCCTTGTTTTTTTTTTCTATTTTATTAGGCGTTCCTCTTTGAAAAGGCTGCCCACTCAGTCCCCCATAACGCAGCCATGCGTCTCAGCATCATCCCCATCATCGACGTTTTCGCCCGCCGCTCCTTCACATCCGCCGGCCTCCGCCCCGAAACCATCGCCGTCAACTCCGAAACCACCATCCATTGTTGGCTTCCAAACACCCTTTCCCTCCCCTCACCCAAAAACCCTGACCCCCGAGTCTCAAAACCCTTTCTCCTTCTCCTCCACGGCTTCGGTCCCGTGAGCACATGGCAGTGGCGATTTCAAGTGCGCGTCCTCTCGCGCCACTTCGATCTGATCGTGCCGGATCTCGTCTTCTTCGGCGAATCGACAACGACATCGCCGGAGCGGTCCGAGGAGTTTCAGGCGGCAGCGATGATGGCACTTCTGAAGGCACTGGGGATCTCCGGCGAACGGATCGCGGGGGTGTTGGGGACCAGTTATGGGGGATTTGTAGCGTATCATTTGGCGAGGATGTTGGGGGATGGATGGATGGGGAAAGTAGTGATTGCGAGCTCGGATGTGGGGAAGAATGAGGAGGATGATAGGGCTATGGTGGAGAGAGTTGGGGGAATTGAGAACGTAAGTGAAATTATGCTGCCGAGAACTACGGTGGCTCTACGGAAGCTGTTGAAACTTTCGATTCGCCGGCCGCCGCGGTTCTTGCCGGAATTTATTCTCCGGGATGTGCTCCAGGTTAGTTAGTACGGTAATTAGTTAATTACCAGCCAATCTTTCATTTTGGAGGATTTCCTATCTATTTAATACCTATATTTTTTACATTTATTTATATAATGTTTAAATCACATTTTTAAAATATTTTTTCTTTAAATAAATTGATATTAATAATTTAATACCATTTTTTACAATTTTAATATTATATAAGAAAACATTAACATATTTTTTTTTTCTTTTTTTCTTGTATTTTGACTTTACAAGACTTTTGGGCCAATTAAGACATTCAAATATACATAAACTATTTAAGACTCAAATTCAAAACCTCTTAGATGGTAACTAAATATCTCAAACAACATATCAAGATGAGCTAGGTTACTTCGTATGTTTATTAGTTTTCTTTAGCACTTTTCCGAGCGAATTAGTGTCAAGGTTATGAAATTCTTTTTTTAACCCCGTCGGGCTTAGCTGGGTTGGTGGCCAAGCGTGCATGGTTGGGAACCTCCCAACCCACATTCGATTCCCCTTTCAAGCTGCTCAATTCCTTAAGTGCAGAGAAAATAAGTGGGTGGTTCGACACCTGTGGGGTTGGTTGCCGCTAGGATCGTCGAGAGATTAGTTATTCCGCAAAGCGCCTACTCTATAACGGTGACAACGAGTAATTAATCCCGTTACAAAAAAAAAAAATCATTTTTTTTAAATTTTAATTATTTTTTTTTTTAAATGATGGATGTGGAGAATAAATTTAACTTAAGCGATATTTAAAATTTAATAATTACATTTACCAGCTTTGTTCAATGAATTTACTTTCATAGAAGTCTGAATGAACTTTTCTAGAAGGACACATTGCAAACGATTACTGTGCGACAAGCGTGATAGCATTTGCTGGTAGGTGTAGTTTTTTTTTTTTTTTTTTTTTTAAATGCTGGTAGGTGTAGTTAAGGGTGATGAAATTTATTGATAGGTCCAGCAATTTTTCTGGAGCCTGCTTGAAATTCTCTAGAACATTTAGCCAGTTTAAATTAATTTTATAAATTATGATTTTGCACATTTTTTTATATATAATTAGCTTAAATTTAAAATTAATTTGAATTTATTTGAGAAATCTATCATTTTCAAGTCCGCTTATAATATACAACAATATCAAATTTTATTCTACTGATGAGGTGGCTATATAATACTATTTTTTTTATTATATGTCAAATTCTTATTTAAATTAAATAAAATTCATTTTAAATATTTTAATCAATTTTTTTAGGTCTATTTCTATCATGTTCTAATATAGGTCGGATAATATATCTACTCTCCAAATCATTAATGAAAGTTTGCTATTTATTTATTTTTAATATATCTTAATGAGCTGAAATATACAATATAAAATATACATATAATGAATTATAAATATACAGTGAAAATAATATCAATTATACATATTAAATGAATTTTAAAATTTATATTATTATTATTCCGCTTAAAATTTATGTCTAGATTATATAATTAAAATTAAGTACATAACCCCATATAACTAGATTTATTATTCTGTGCGGAGTCAGTATGTGTCCGGAGTTCAATAAAAATGCGTCACATTACCTCAACAAGCGCGGTATATTTTTGAGATAATATGGCGCATTTTTATTGATCTCCGAACATATCCTGACTCCGCACATGATACTGACGTAATCGAACGGTTTTTCCTGCGGCTGTCTGTACAGATTAATCTCTCCATAAACCAAGGCTCCTAAATGTCTAACTCCACCTACCAGAATTAATTCATATTCACATTTAGGTTTAGGATGTCATTCCTATTTATTAGTATTTAATATCTGACTGCAGTCTAGTTATAGCTGTAGTTGATGATCATTACTTCACTTGGCTAAAAAAAAAACTAATAAAAATGTTCACGTCTATTCTATGTCAATTTATATGTCATTGGCAGAGTAGATGGATGATGGGGAGTAGACATTGGCAAATAGATTTGTGATTCACCTTGGAACAAGCTAGATAAATGCTCTCGTGCTTAATTTGATGTGCTAGTGAGTTAAATTTGAGTTAATTTCTTTTAATTTTTTTATTATAATTTAATCAATTAGAATAAATTACATATACATCACATATGCAAGACTGGAATCCAAGACCTCTTAGTTGATAGCCAAAACTCCACCAACTAGGGCTGTCAATTTCGGGTCACGGGTCGGGTTCGAGTCGAACACAGAACTATTCAGGTCAACTCGAATCCGACCTGCTTTGGGTTTGGGTCAACTGACACGACCCGAAATCAGGATGTCGGATGCGTAAAACAACAGGATGTCAGAGGCCTGATGCCGGGAGATGGGATGCCGGGCATTCGCATCGCCTTGCGGGACAGCTGGACGCGGGCACATGGGCACGCAATCAAGCTACAAGCGTGGCACGCATCGACGGACGACACGCGGCGACGCGGGCAAGTGGGGCAGGGGCGAGCGCGGTCATGCAGGCAGCTCGATCACGTGGGCAGGCGCAGATGCGAGGTGTGATTGGCTCTGGCAAACGGCGGTCACGCAGGCAGGCGCTGACACGAGGCGTGATTGGCTCGGATAGACGGTGGTCACACAGGCAGCACGGTCAGCTGGTCATTTCCGATTTTTCGGGTCAACCCAAATTTGACCCGATTTTTTAAACGGGTCGAAAACTCTAACCCGACCCGATTCGGATTCGGGTCAACCGGTATGATAATTTATTTAATATAATAAATTCAATAATGTAAGTATAAAATTATTTAAAAATTTTAAAATTTTCTTTGATTTATATAATAAAATATACCTATTTGATTTGAATTATTTTCTCTTCTATAATAAATAATCATAAAATTAAACTCGAGCTTATGCTAGCGCTAGATTTATGAGGCAAACTTAAGCTTAGCGATGTCAATATTTGACACAACTCAAATCCCGACTCGAAAAATTTTGGGTATGGGTCAACCTGTTTATCAAACGGGTAGGCTCGGGTTTAGAAATGAGACCTTTTTTTTAAAATTGGGTCGGGTTCGGATTGACCCGGCAACCCAAAAAACAATTGGAAATTCACCTGGTCCAGTGGTCTCCCCTAGCCCACTAACATACAGCACATTGAGCCCAAATGCCCAGCCCAATCGGATATTACGGTGCCGCCTAACCTCGGCCCTACCGCCCTAGCCCGCCTATGCCTAGTCTCCTTCACCGCTCGCGCGGCACACGGTCGTGACAGCACGCGGCACGTGCCTCATCGCTCTTCAGACGCCAGCCTCATAGTCAGAGCCCTCACCTAACGTGACGCACGGCAGTCGGAATGTGCCTTGCCACTCGCCTGTGGCTAGACATTAGCCTAGCAGACTGCAGCTGCTTGCCAGACGCCAGCCTCACCAGTCGTTGCTATCCAATCGACGTGTGCCCTTGAATTCGAAACAAAGCGTGTTGGTAGGTTGTGTTGGGTCAGCCCAGTTACCTGTGTGGGTCAAGTTCAGGTTGGAAAACCTGACCCATTTGTAAAACCAGGTCGGGTTAGGATCAACCTGTTTAAACAAGGGTCAATCTGAGTTCGACCCGAACTCGACTCGCGGACCCGTTTTGACACCTCTACTCAAGCTCCAGTGTAGATGGGTTGAAATGGATTCACCAAATCTACACTGTTGGGATATTTAGGTCAATTAAGACAAACTCATACACACATAACACACACAAGCTTTAAACTCAAAATCTCTTGGTTGATAACTAAAGCTTCGAACAAACATATCAAGATGAGCTGCATGTCTACACCTTATTTATTTCATAATCTAGATGTGTTTGAGTGATCTTTCAATTGTATATTTCTCTTATGTTAAGATTAACTCATCTTGACAACATCTTGTTAATTGATAAACAGGATGTTTGGGATTATGCACAAACAATAGTCTTTCAATTTTTTGTGCCACTCTAATGAAATGAAATTAATGCACGTCTTTTTTTGAAAAAATAAAAATTTGAATTTTTGTTTGATTTGGTGTATGGTAGCAAAATAAGTAATTACAAAAATTATAATTTGTGTGTTTTATTTGGGTCGCATATCTTTAAAATTTTCAAGTTCATTTATTTCAAATAATCCTTGCAAGTAAATATATTTCAAATTGCATTATTTATTTAAAAAAGAATTTAAACAACAAAATAGTTATAGCCATTCAGACAAATATTTTGTTTGAAAATAATGTGCTAATTTTAATTGTTTGACAGATTTTGAGGCATTTGTGTCATACTTTAAAACTATGGGAGAGAGTTATAGAGTATAGCTTGCGGCGTCATACTAATGTTTCTCAAAATCAATTTGGATTCATGCCAGGCAGGTCTACTATGGATGCCATTCATTTATTGAGAGATTTGATGGAGAAGTATAGAGAGAATAAGGAGGATCTACATATGATTTTATTGATTTAGAAAAAAACATATGATAAAGTTTTAAGAGAAGTGCTATGGAGAGTTCTACATAATAAAGGGGTTCATAATGCTTATATTCATGTCATTAAGGATATATATACAGGAGCTGTTACTTTTGTTCAAACACAAGGTGGTTTGACAAAAAAAAAATCCTATTTCAATTGGATTAAATTAAGGATCAGTCTTAAGCCCAGATCCTTTTGCTTTAGTCATGAATGTTCTCACTAGACACCTGCAAGAGGTTGTACAATGGGGTATGCTTTTTGCTAATGATATTTTTCTTATTGATAAAACTAGAGATGGAGTAATTGAAGGTTAACTTGAATTATGGAGGTCAACTTTAAAGTCTAAAGGCTTTCATTTGAGTATATCTAAAACTAAATATATGGAGTATAATTTTAATAATAATAGATCTAGTGGGGGGATAATGATTTTGGCAATCAAGTCATTAAATTTAATAAGAGCACACGTTTTAGATATCTTGGATCGATTGTTCAGAGTGATGATTAAATAGATGGGGATATTATTAGTATAATTCAAGTTGGATATTTGAAGTGGAGGAATGCCTCGGGCTTGTTATGTGATAGAAAAATCTCTCTCAAACTTAAGGAAAAATTATATATGATGGTTGTGCGACCTACAATGTTTTATGGTGCAGAATATTGACCATTAAAAGAGAAGCATAATATTAAGTTAAGTGTTGCATATATGAGGATGCTCACTTGGATGAGTGGCTTTACTATTAAAGACTGGATACGAAACGAGCATATATATGAAAAGGTTGGAGTAGCTCCAGTGGAAGATAAGATTAGAGAGAGTCTCCTTAGATTGTTTGTTCACATAAAACAGTAGTCTTTTGATGACCCGATTAGGAAAGTAGATGTATTAGATTTGACTTATATTAAGAAAGGTATAGGTAGACCTAAAAAGACTTGGTTAGAAAGTATTAGAAATGACCTTTCTTTATTAGATTTAGATGAGAATTTGACTCTTAACATAATACAATGGAGAAAAAGGATTCATGTAGCCGACCCCACATAGTAGGATAAAGGCTTGGTTTTGTTGTTATTGCTGTGGCCTTAATATGCTTTGTGGTGCTGTGCCTGCTTTTATTAAGAGAATTAACTTTTAATATGTTTATTGCCTATTTAATCTGCTATACAGAGTTTAATTAATTAATTACTGAAATATATTGGAAATTCTCCACAGAATCTCTACACAGATAACTTGGAGCGAAAGATGGAGCTTATAAAGGGAGTTACACTAGGCAACAAAGATTTGTTTCAGCTAACGCCGCTTCAGCAGGTATTCAGAAAACTTTTTCATAACTCTTCTTAGTTCATCTTGACTGCCTTTTCATCTCGCAGGACGTTTTGATTGTCTGGGGAGATCAGGACAACATATTTCCGGTTAACAAGGCTTTCGAGCTCAAGAAGTAAGCTAATTGTTTTTGTTTTTCTTTGAGGGTATTTTGATACAAATTATATGAGGATAAGTTTGAAAATTTTTTGATTTATTTTGAGATTAGTGTTGCATCTTAAAAGTTTTAATATAACTATCTAGTTAAGATGGTTAAGATTAAATTAATTCAATAAATATCATTAAAATTTTTAAATAATCATATGAAATATTTGGGATCAATTGAACTTGTTGAAATAAAACACTTATATAAAAATATATTGATCAAATAAACATTAAGTTTATTTTTCATAACTAAGAAAATAGTAATATAACTTATATAATTAAACATTAATTAGCAGATTTGATAAGTATATATCTAATTTATAAACTTGTTAAAGCATTAAGTGGTCAAGATCATTATTATGTGCCAGAAAAATGTGGTAAAGTAAGAGTTTTAGGTGTTAGCTTGCTTGAAGATCTTGCACACACATAGCTAAAAGTGAGGAATACAGGTGACATTAACATTTTTACATAAAAAATATGATAAGAGAAAAATCATAGGATCTAACCTAAATAAAATAATTCATTATATAAGTAGAATTACTAAGGTCCATTATAACCCTTAGTGGGGCAATGTTGGTCAATCAACAGTGGTCAAATGACAACAGCCGAGCGATATTAGTTGAGTGGCGACGGTCATCGCGTGATAGAAATGGAACAATGAAAGTTGGACGAATTTGAATGGACTATAATGGCCAAGTGACGATGGTAGATGGTTCGAACAATGGTGATCGAATGATGGTAATAAAATGACAATTGTGTATGTTGATGATCATTAGCATCAAATTTCCGGTGGAGCTATGGAGTTTTTTTTATGTCTAAGATATCTTTAAATTTAAGTCTAAGGTCCTCTCATGAAGAGAATAGGAGTCTATATATAATATTTTTAGAGTTACATTTTAATTACATATAGCAAAAATCTTTTAACACTATTGAAATATTCATTTGAATCATTTGATCATAAACTATTCATTTAACATTTTAGTCCCTAAATCACCTCAGAATAGAATGATCTTGAACTCATTCAATTCATTTTGCCGAGATGCTTTATCTGAATATAAGTAAAACTCAAACAAAGCTAATCAACCTTGAATCTTCAATGCACGCAGTCTTAGGAAACATACAACTTGAGCTATTCCTAGTAGCAAAGCTTGAAGATAGTTTAGTGGATATGATCTTCAACCTCATGGTTAGGCTATTATATAAATTACATATAAATATATGTTGCAAACTATTAGATGATTCCACGTAAAACTTACTATCATCAAATTAATAATGAATCACACAAGTCATATTGGCTCATGATTTCATCATATATGATGATATGGCACACAAGGAAGCACTTAAAGGTCAGGTTGCCATTAAGAAATACCATGATAGTCTTCCTGATCTTGGAGGCAAATGTGGCATGGCCTTGATTAGGAGGCGCCAAAAGTTTTGGCGGCGACTATTGAGGATGATCTAATTAGTCCTCCCCTTGAAAGCCAAGTCTATACAGTTTGGAGATAGTGATAGAGGTGACACAGGAAAGTTATGGAGGTCATGGACGATGATTGAATCTATTCTCCCCCAGAGTCTAAGAATTTGTAGCTTGAAGACTTTAGTTGAGGCAATGCAAAAAAGTCATAGAGGCCGCTAAAGATGGCTAGATCTATATCTTCCCTAAAGGTGGAGATGACATGAGTTGGGGTTGGTTGGTGGGCGATGTGGCGTAGGAACATTGTAGAGGATACTAAAGATGATTAGATTAGTCTCATCTTAGAGTGATGGCGATGATTGAGATTTAGCCGATAGGTCAAGGAGAAGATTGCAGGTACCCATGATCCTCTTTTCTATAGGTGGTGATGACATAGGCTTCGTTTAGGACGACTTTCTTGTTGCTTCTTAAAATAGCTTTTAGTACAAAAATTAAAATCTTTGTACTAGAAAGCTGCTTTAAGAAGCAGTAAAAAAACCGTCTCAAACAAAACCATAATCTAAAGTTGATAGCTATGGAAGTTATTAACCTGACTATATGCAGTGAGGACAATACCTCTTATTGATATATTTAGTAATCTTTTTTTTAAAAAAAATTGGATAAATTTATTGAAATTATTAACCTGATTTACTTTCTTCTTCTTTTACAAAATTTGGATAAATTTAGTGATCAAAATCAATCTGATGCAAATGCAGGAAACTTGGAGAGAAGGCAAAATTGGAGATCTTGAAGAACACCGGCCATGTTCCTCAAATAGAAGATCCAGATCTGTTCAATAAGGTCCTTCTTGGCTTCTTATTAGGGGCTCCCAATTCATCAGTGTGACTACTTGCGCAAGATTATTCGTAGCATATAATTTATATTGCACTTTATTACCTTTGAATCATAAAATATTTATGAAATAAATTTAAAAATAATTAGATTTATTTTGAGATCAATGTTATATATGAATAATTTGTGTTATATTAATCTCAAAGTAAATTTAATGATTTTTAGTCTATCTTGTATTAGAAAATCTTGATATAATTTTTTTTTTCAAATTTTTATTAGAATGTTTTGTGTTATTTCATGAAAATGACATTAAGGATTATTTGTTTGGTGGTTAAACTCACTTAAGTGCCGAATTATGTATTTTTTTGTATAATAGCTTATTATTATGACAAAAAATTAAAAATAAGACTATTAATTATATATTAATATTTTTCATAATAACGATGTTAAAAATTTATTACATGGTGTTAAAAAATAAAGATAGATTTTTGTAAAAAGTTATTGTTTATCTATTATTATAAAATTCATTCCATGAAGTGCAAAATTTAAGTTGGAATATTTTTAAATTAAATTTTTATTTCAATAAATTTATAGTTGAAACGAATATTTTGGTGAGATAAATTCAATAATATAACGAGTATTTTGATATAAGTCAAAACGGGCTCAAATCGAGCATTAAAACGGAAAGTTTTATGTTCAAATCAATTAACACAACCTACATCATTTTTCACATAGAAGGGAATTTGTAACAACAACATCAGGCTTTTATCGCTTTACGTGGGATAGGTTATATGAATCTTTTTTTCTTTATTTAGTTCTAATAAAGAAATATCATTTCTAATATTTTTTAATCAAGTCTTTGTAAGTCTATATCTATCTTTTTTAATAAAAGTCAAATCTAATACATCTACTCTCCTAACCGGGTCATCAGAAGACGTCATATGGGATAGGTTTTAAGGCTTTATTATCATAGGTGGACAACATTGATAGAACAATGTTACTTATCTAAACTATCAAATGGGCCATTTTTCATCCAAATTGCAAATAGGCTGCATTTCTTAGAAGATTATCTTTCTCAAAAGAAGAAGACCCCTTGAGCTAAACCACTTAAAAAAAAGGCTTATACCCTACACTTTTAGGGTTTGTTTGGGACGGCTTTCTTACTGCTTATTACAGCAACTTTCAAGTACAAAAATTAAAATTTTTGTACTAGAAAGCTGCTTTAAGAAGTATTAAGAAAGTTGTCCCAAACGAAGCAATAGTCTTGAGAAGCAGTAAGAAAGTCATCCCAAATGAAGCCTTAGACTTCGTTTGGGACGGCTTTTTTCTTGCTTCTTAAAACAGTTTTCTAGTACAAATATTAAAATCTTTGTACTAAAAAGCTGCTTTAAGAAGCAGTAAAAAAACCGTCCCAAACGAAGCCTTAATATTTTTTTTGTTTGCCATGAAACTTGCTTGCATATCTAGTTTTGGACGGAAGTTCTTTTACATAGGTAAATATTAAGAGCATTATTTTAATCTTACTAGAGAATAGCCAATCAAGTATCAATTAGGTCATCATCATTTTTTTTTTCCCTTATGACTGACCACTTGGATCAAAACAGGTACCTGACTCGAATGATCAATTTGAATCTAGCACATTTAATAAACGGGTTAAAAATATGGACCTGAATTAGACCAGGTACTAACTCTAACCAACCTGAAAACTTGTTTTAATTAAAATATATTTTTATTAAGATTGTTAATCATATTTTTTAGATTAATTAATCAAAAATAAGAAGATTATACCGACAAGTAAAAAAATTTAAGGAAATAAAAATTGAACTGATTATTTTGGAGTCAAAATTGGGTTGGGTCAACCAGAACTAAACCCAGTAAATAGGTTGGAATGCGTGGCCAGAATCCAACCTGTTAATTAAACAAGTCAATTTGAAATCAAAATATTTAAGTCATACTAGGTCGGGTTGGCGTATCTTGTCATTTATTGACGCCCCGCCCCTAATAAATAGAGTGCCCTTGTATTAATTAAGCAATGCAAGATACTTTAAGGTCTAGAATATCATTAATATAAATATATAATGAGATGCGCAAAATCATACAAATAAATATAGTATATTCTACTTGGCTCTTGCCATGAGTTTTTGTTAATTTAAGCTTCGTTTGGACAACTTTTTTGGTTACTTTCTAAAACAACTTTTCAGTACAAATTTTTGTACTAAAAATCATCCTAGAAAGCAATAAGAAATCTATTTCAAACCAAACCTAAGTCTCTGCCATTATGGCCTTATTATAAAATATTTGGATATATTTCTTGCTAGCTGATTAAAATATTAAATATCAATTGATGGTTTTTTTGGATTAATTTATTTTCAGGATGGTAATCTTGGTCTTTCAAAATTCGAAGTGTAAATTTGTTGTGGTGTGCCAGAAGCACTCCCTTTGGATGGGATGGGTGAATTATTACATCCGGTTACCTGACGAAGAGATACATTCGGATTTCTCTCTGTCTACAGTAAAAGCGCAGTTACTGCAGCAACTGTGCTTTGACTACGCTTTTACTGTAGACAGAGAGAAATCCGAATGTATATCTCTGTCGAGTGACCGGACCTAATAATTTGCCCTTTGGATGGCTTTGAAGATTTCAAAAGGCATCAGAAATTTGATCTCTAAAATGGTTTACCTAATTATCTAAATGCTTGAATAAATTAGCATAAACAATTTTGGTTAATATGTCTTCTTTTAGTATTCTGATGTGGGAGCCTTTTATATCGACCGGCATTATGAAGTAACAATAGGCATTATTTATTGTAGGATTAATTTTTTTTTTAAATTAAAATGAGATATTTTTATTGAGTTATATTTGAGATTGTTAAAAAAATTACATATTCTCTTTAATTGGTACTTCCTTAAAAAAAAAAAATTGTAAGATTCATTATATAGTTGGAGGAATTTTAAAATTCCAACCAGTCTTCTAAATATCTCTTCAAATGATTTTATTTTTATTTAGATTTGTGCATTCTAGATGGTTCTAGTAGATCTTTTTGCAATGGTAAGGGCATCTCCAACGGAGAACTCTATTTTTCATGGCAAAATACGGCAAAATTTTAAAATGCCGTGGTGCTGCTCCAATCGAACGTCATTTTATGTGTTTTTGTCAAGGTAACGATCCTTTCACGCGATTCTCCCTTTCGCGCGTTTTTCCGGTTGAAAGAGCAAACTGGCGTGGGTGAACAGTGCAACGCCAATATTGGCGTCGCACTGTTCAACGGCAAGTGAATGGCGGAAGATTTGGCATTCCTTTGGAGCGACCGAATGACACTATATGCTCGTTTGACGTTCGGTTGGAGATGCTCTAACACAATACAAGATTTCTAGTTTTAAATTCAAAAATCTTCATATGTCTCATTTAATTTCTTGAAGTTGTAAAGCTTATTTAAAAAAAAAATTGTAAGATTCATTATATAGTTGGAGGAATTTTAAAATTCCAACCAATCTTCTCAATATCTCTTCAAATGATTTTATTTTTATTTAGATTTGTAAATTCTAGATGGTTCTAGTAGATCTTTTTGCAATGGTAAGGGCATCTCCAACGCAGAACTCCATTTTTCACGGCAAAATACGGCCAAACTCCAAAATGCCGTGGTGCTGCTCCAATTGAACGCCATTTTATGTGTTTTTGTCAAGGTAACGATCCTTTCACGCGATTCTCCCTTTCGCGCGTTTTTTCGGTTGAGAGAACAAACTGGCGTGGGTGAACAGTGCCACGCCAATATTGGCGTCGCACTGTTCAACGGCAAGTGAATGACGAAAGATTTGGCGTTCCGTTGGAGCGACCGAATGACGTCATACGCTCGTTTGGCGTTCGGTTGGAGATGCTCTAACACAATACAAGATTTCTAGTTTTAAATTCAAACTACACCAACCATTTTGAATTGTCTTAATCACCTTTTTTGGGTTGATAGTGAAATTAAAAAAAAAAAATCTAAAATCTCTTTCAATTAAAAGCATTGATGTAAGGGTAGAAAGATGCCCCTTTTTTTCCAACTCTATCTTCTTCAATGTCTTCTTCAAGAATAAAAATATCGACTCTTCAAAATTTTAATCAATTAGTTAATTAATTATTATTATTATTTTATTTAATGCGTGTACAGAGTCAGAGTAATAAGAATACTTTACGAAAAATAATGTACGGTTTGAAATAATGGGGGTTTGTTTAGTAAAAGGATAATGAGAGATTATTACGTGCAGTGTACATACATATAGAAGTATAGAACCGTTCGATTTTGTTACTGAGAACATTAAAAGCACAGTTAATGCTCACAAATTCGCTTTTAATGTTCATCAATGCGCTTTTATTAGTCTTTTACTATTTACTGTCATAAAATTGAACGGTTCTTTTTGACCAAACTCCGTATGTAATAATCTCTATAGACAAGGCTATGCTTTTCTCTTGATTTATTCCTGCAGAAATTTAAAAATTATATATTATATTAATTATGGAATTCTATCGTTTGTTCTGTTGTACCTTATTACTTTATTTCTGTTACGCAAATGATTTGTTTGTCGAACTGAACGTTTCGGAAATACAAACCCAACGACACCAAATTCGTCTCAATCCGAGCCCAAATGAGTCCAAACCAAGGGTCTGAAGCACTGTTGAAAGGTTCAAACCACAATTTGGGTTACCAAACAGTTTCCAAACATGATGTGCTTATAGTCGAATCGAGCGGCTCGACGAGACAAATCTAACGAGCCCAAGATCACTAAAATCCAACATAACTAAGACATTCAAATGTCCATCAAACAGTCCATGGTCAAAGGATTCAACATCAGTCATCCATCCAACCACTCATCATTTACCCTTGATCTCTTACCTATTTACGGGCCATGTCACTACAGAAATCTATAAATAGACCCCTTATTTCTCTTGAAAGGGGGACAAGAGCAAGAAGAGAAGAAGGAAGAAGAGAAGGAAGAGAAGGAAGAGAAGGAAGTGAAGGAATAAGCTCCTCCTCGACCACCGCCTAAGCTCCACCGGACCACCACTTGAGGCCCTCACCTCCGCCGGACCACCACCTGACATCGTTGCTTCGCCGGAACACCACTTAAGGCCCTGATCTTCGTCGGACCACCACTTGAGGCCCTCACCACCGCCGGACCACCGCTTGACGTCGTTTCTCTACCAGACTACCACTAGAGGCCCTCACCTCCGCCGGACCACCTCCTGACGTCGTTGCTCCGCCAAATCACCACTTAAGGCCTTAAGCTCCGTCGGACGACCACTTGAGGCCCTGAGCTCTGCCAAACCACCACTTAAGGCCCTGAGTTTCATCGAACTACCACTTGAGGCCCTCACCTCCGCCAGACCACCGTCTGACGTCGTTGCTCTGCCGGACCACCACTTAAGGCAATAAGCTCCGTCGGACCACCACTTGAGGCCCTCATCTCCGCCGTACCACCGCCTGACGTCGTTGCTCCTCCGGATCACCACTTAAGGCCCTGAGCTTTGTCGGACCACCACTTGAGGCCCTGAGCTCCGCCGAACCACCACTTGATGCCTTGAGTTCTGCCAGACCACCACCTGATGCCCGGACTTCTGCTAGGACACCACCTGACGCTCAAAGTTATGCCGGAGTACTGCCCTATAATTACGGTCTTTCTGGCCATGGTCTCCTGCCAACTACGATCTTTTGGACACCTGTCTCCTATCGACTACGTTCCTTCCGACCTCCATCGCCTACTATGGTCCTTTTGATCTCCATCACCTGACAATGGTCTTTTTGATCCCGTTCTCCTGCTAACTACGATCTTTCGGACCTCTATCTTATGTCGACTACGGTCCTTCTGACCTCCATCACCTACTATGGTCCTTCCGACCTCCATCACCAGATACGGTCTTTTCGACCTTTATCCTATCGACTATGGTCATGCTGACTAAACAAACATGAATATATTGTAACTCCCACTATATGATGTACATTTGTACCATCAGGCCAAGGCCTTCTCCCAAGGAAGGGCCTTATTTGTAATCGACTGTAAATAATAGTGGATTCATTCAAACTCGGCCATGCCCCGTGGTTTTTTCACGTAAAAACTTTGGTGTCTCTTATGAATGCAACACCCTCTTTCTTATCTAATTGTGTACTGGATATTCGTACAACATTAAGACGTTAAACTATATATTTCTCTACCGCCGCGAATACTTCAGGACACAACAATTATATTAAAGAAAATTTAGTAATTTTAATTTTATTCTGACATATTTTATATAAAAGTGTTTTAATTTGGTTTATATATTAAAAATAAAAGTTTTAATATACTAACTATATATTTTATGAATTTTATGTTTTTATGACTATCTTTTAATATTTTTAAAAATATTTTATGATATTAATTAAGTTTTTCTATATTTTTAATTTATTATTTTTTATTAAAAATG